TTTGTTTTCTCTTCCAACACCTTCATCTTCCCTGTCTGAACTTCCTTTTCTTTTTCCAATAAACTCACCTTTTTCAAAAGGTCATCCACTTTAGCCGCATATGATTTGTTTGACCTCACAGAAATCTCAAACGCCTTAGAACTTTCCTCCAATTTTTTCTTTAAAATGTCAACCTCGGCATTAATGACCCAATCTGGTTGTTTTCGGTCCTTAGTTTGGACATCTGTGCAGCATTTTTCTCCCACTTTATTTTCCAATGGTCCACCACAGCAATAGACCTCTGTAGAAATACTTGAACGGAGTCTAAACCCTGCACAGGTCCAACCTTCTCGATTAACGCCTTATCGGCGATGTAAGCTGGATCCTCCTTATAAAACGCTTCGGCCTTCAACTCAGCATTCCAAAGGGAAGTCACGTCGGGCGACATACTTACGTGATCTAGCCTTGACAGGGGATGCTCAGTATCATACCTCTGATGCAATGATCACGGACGATTGTTTGACCCAGCTTGAGATGATCTCCCCTGTGGAACTGGCGAGTTAAAGCCGAGTTGAGCAATCGATGCCTCCAAATTTGACACCAAATGTTCTGAAGATTCAGGAACTTGTGTATTTGCCGGCTTCAGAAACGAAATTTAAAGTCAGAATAGCCGACACGATTATATCATGTTGCAAGTAACAATAAGAAATTATATCATGTTGCAAGTAACAATAAGAAATATACCTTCTGTTTTTCCAGATTAATTATGAGATTTTCCTCCACTTTCCTCCGGATTGGATCTTCCTTTTCCAGATCAATCACTGGATTTTCCCCCACCTGTTTTTGGCTTGTGTCACCCCTCAGCTTGGTAGTCTCTTTCACCGCTTCTTTCTTCGGCATATTCGCATCCACAGTATGATCAGCAGATTTGTGTTCCTCACTGTGAGCATTTTCACCATCTATCTTTTGCTTCTTAACTTTTTGTTTTGGGACCGCTGTATCAGGAATTTCTTCTATGTTAAATTTCCCCTTCAACTCCCGCCATCTACTTCTCCCCATGATATCTGCATTACATCAACCACCACAGCATTATATTAACATACAGGTCATCAATATCTACTCATTATATATATTAACTGTTGCAAAGTTTCTATATCCGTCAACTCGGCTGGAGTTAATTCCAACCTTCTGAGCCAGAAAATTTAACAGGCAGAGATTGCCAGTAAAAGGGAAATCTCGGTTTTCCATTCAAGAAAAAAACACAGTCCAAACTCGGATCACTACACACAAACCGAATCTTAACAAACTCCTCTTTAAAATTTTTATATGATTGTGCAAATATTTGAAATAGTCCTCCCCCCTTTGAACTTTCACTCAGCGAAACCCAACCAAAAGGAGGCTCCCCTAATTTTATTTGATGAAAATACATAAACCTTCCCAAACTTACTTCCATTCCTAACACTGAACACAGAATTTGAAACGCACGCAAGAAACCCCAACTATTTGGGTGCAGCTGACTTGGCGCTATGTTCACTTTTTCCAGGAAATCGCATTCAAACGGTGTAAATGGCATTAGCACGCCTAAATCCTTAAAGACGCATTTATACATGTATATCCCAGGCGAAACCCTTGATCCTTCAAAATACACATGTTCTTCAACAAAACAAGGCTCTATTATGATTCGCTCTAACATGGGTGGCAAGCAAAATTTTAAATGATGTTGCAGCACACTCACCCCCATCAAATCCCCAAATCTACTACTATATTGCCCAACATCCCCCTCACCCACTCATACCCAGATGTTGCAATCTTAGGATGCGAATCCTTACGATTGTTTCCTCCTCTCTTTCGCACTTTTGTCTCCTCCATCTCCGTCATTTTACTTTTCCCTTTGCCACCTTTCATCCTACCCTTGTTCATCAACCCACACCTATAAGCTACGCACAGATAGTAAACGAAATTTCAACACAGGACACCAAGGATCAGTGTATACCTGGAAACGCAAAAACTTCGCCGACGGTGATAGCATTGTCGCACTTCCTCTCTAACGTCTCTTTGCACGAATATGCGTATATTCACATATGAGGTGTTAACCCATTTAAATGATCGTTTCCGCGTCTCTCCACACCTCAAACGTTTTTATCTTTCACACTTCCCCATGCGACCATCGTTTCGTATTCGACGCCCATTAATGGCACCCCATCGCTTCAATCACGCACTTATTGAAGAGACATGACCCTTCAATGCACAGCTGTCACCACTCTAACACTGTGACCCCTTATGTCACCCCTTCTGTATTGCTACTCTTTGGGATGTGACACCTCATTTTTGCAACTCGGCCATTTCGCTTTGTTTTCAACCTCTTTCGCTCTTACATCGCTCAGAGCTTGGGGGGCTTGTGTACCACCCCCGATGTAGGACCGAGGTCATGCCGAGACCCATATTCCATCCTCGATGTAGGAACGTGGTCATGCAAAGATCACGATGTAAGGTGTTGACCAAATATTAGCTGACTTAGACCTTGAAATCAGCAATACCAACACCTCAGCCCATAAAGAACATCAAACATATAACACATGATAAATCCAACCGACTTAACTATAGTTAACTCACCTCGGATAACCACTATAGCAGTTATCTCGGAAAACCGCACAACCCAGGTAAGGCATAAGTATGAGAATGGACAATGGAATGGTAACTAACTTGATCGTCGGAGTCCTTTTTGCAGGTACATCCGAGGCGCTCGAGCAAGGAGACCAGAGAGAGAAGGAAATCGTCCTCACGACCGATCTTGGACCATCCCGGTTAAACCAGCAAAGATGACTTATCCAAGTTAAGCACCCGGCCTGATTTGTGTAAGTACAGGAAGTATATCCCAACACTTCGTAAGAACCCCATACCAATTCGACGAGTGGGATGTCATTAATTCCTTGTCACCGTCACTGAATTTCAAGTAGTGATGGGAGTGGAGATGTTGGAGGAAGGGAAGTGGTGTCGGTGGTGCGGCAGTGTAAGAGAGAAGGAAGGAAAAAATATCAAGTAGTGATGGTGCATTGTATAATGATGTTGATAAAATGAATCTAATGGTAATTAAATTTGTTTCACCCATAAACCACCTGATGTAAGTGACCATCGTAGCCTTTTTCTTAAAACTATTAATGAATTATAATAACTACTCACTACCCCTGTTAATATGTGTATATTCAAAAGAAGACAATACTAAAACACATAATGTCTTCTTTTGCACTAATAAATAATAAAAATAATTGAATTAAAATATGTGAGAGTTTTAAACAATTAGAGCGTGTGAGTTGTTGTGTAGTCATTTAAAAGGTGTGAAAAATTCAAAAAATAAATTTATGAAAAATAGAAGAGAAAAAAGAATAAAAATTAAATAAAAAAGTATGAGAGTGTTTTAGGAGTTAAGGGACAAAATAGTCAATAAAATATGTACACTAAAAAAGACATATCGTCTTTATTAATGAGAAAGAATCCACTTATTTAAGAGCAAGTTTTGGTAAACTTACTTCACTCAATAACTCATTTTATATCAAATTTCAATGATCTAACCATTAAATTAAAAGTTCTTAATGCATAAAATAACAAAATTTTTAAAAAATTGAAAAGTATTGAATACTTGTTTCATTAATTTAAATCAACAAATAATCAGAAAAATATTTTATACATTAATTTAAATTTATATAAAAGGTATCATATGATTTTTTTTTAAAGTTTGTAAGTTTGATTTGTACATTAAGATTTTTTAATTCCATAGTTAAATCATTAAAATTTAATGTAAAATATAAATTATTAAGTAGAGTAAATCTAAAAAAATTTATTCTTAAAATAAATATTTCTCTCCTATTTATTAATAGAATATATATATAACTAAAATTAGCCGCAAAAGTTCTTATATTGGGTAATGTTATTTCAAATTTCTATAGCTACGGCCTGCTTCACCTATTTCATCTAAAATAAATTCAAAATAATTTTATTTCCCTTGTCTCTTACTATTTTCACATAGGATTTTTTTTTTGTCTTCGATAAGCACCATTGATATCTATGTTGAATAGGGATAGTGATTAACGTCTACCGCATTTTAGAAAGGATTGAAGTGGATAAACGAGAGAAATAAAATGAAAAAAAGGTGGAGAGAAAAAATGATAAATATAATAAATAATATGATAAAAAAAAAAATAGGTAGAAAGTAATGTGCAGATTGAAAAAATGTATGTATAATTAATTTTTCATTATATAAACTACAAAGAGAGAACGGATTTTAAAGCACAATGTACGGATAAGTGGTACCAGCATTACTTGTAACTTCAGCAAAACCAAGTGGTTTATTTTAATTTATTAAAAATAAGTGATTAATCAATAATAGATGTAATTAAATCAATTAAAAACCCAAACTAATTAATGAAATTATTAACAGTTCATGAACTAAATTATTTGTTTCTCTAAGAAATAAAATATGGCAATCTTAAGGAAAATAACTATCTGCCAACTCTTCATTACATATTATGTGAGGGAAGGGCATTTGTTTCGGTGCTCGAAAGTGTTAATGCACTAAAACTTTTCCTTTATTTTTTACTGATATAATTAATTATGGTTATTTGTATTAGTGGATAAAGTTTTATTATAATTATGTTTGTTTAGTTCTACTTATTAGGTATTTGATTTTAAGTAAATCTACACACTTAATGATGGTGGGAACATGTGTTTTATCAACAACATTTATGAGCTTTATGTATGAATGTCATTTTTCATGTATTTACCTTATATATGAATAAAAAACATGCAGAATGGTAAGGTTGTCCATCAAATACGAAATTGCTATGTTTCCTAACCTTTTCTCTTCTCTGTTTTATGGTTTTGTATGATTTTTATGTTTTATGCTTATGCTGCCCGTTGGAAGTCTTAACAGAAGGAAACCAAGGATGCAAAAAAGAAGAATAGAAAAGAAAGAAACAGAAAATGGAAAATTTAATAAGCCAAAAATGAATTCTGAATCATGTTGATATTCAAACATGCATTGATTTTTGTAGAGCAAATCCTTTAAAATTCGGACTATATGATCGCTCTCATTCACATTTACAAGGTATTGATTGATAAACACTTCACTCATCATTGTGCTAATGAGCAAGCATATTAAGAAACGACACTCTATTTTGTACTATACGTCTGAAAATGCAATCTAATCCACCGTCGAGACCCTCGATGCTAATATTCAGTGTCTCCAACACTCTTAGTGCACTTTGAACTTCAAACTTGACATCACTCTGATTTCCTCTTCCAAGGAGGGTGCACACAGAACTAAGATCCACAACATTGATGTTCTTATGTTCTTTCTCTGAAGAAAACAACCTTGGCTTTAGCTTTGAGATCATTGAGGTCCCTTTTGTTCTGAGTCCTGGCATTGAGAGGAACAACAAAAGAGAACGAAATATAGAGATAGTGATGATGCTTGCTTCTCTTAGAACTCTGGCCAGGAATATCAAATGCTGATCTTGAGTTTGACTTTGACCCACTAGGGCAAAACTATTAACTTTGTTCTCCATTCTCTTCATTGCCTCTAGTTGCTTGGTAATCTCCTTCTTAGCCTTCTTCTTGAAGCTATCATATTCACAAATGCTGCTTTCGATGCTTGAATACCCTCTTCTTCTACGCATGGCTGATTGAAGGGCTTGCATGTGTTCTTTAAGAGCCAACAATAAGTCCCTTGCTGTGCCACATGCATCTAGGAGTGTCACTGAGCCACACAGTGCCTCTTCCACTAGTTTCCCGTTCTGGTAGTGCAAAAGTGCTTGTTGGGTCTGTGGAGAATGGAAGAGTTCCTCCATGCAGTTGTACAACTCAGCAAGCACTACCAAATCGCTCTGAATTGTCTCTGCTTCCAAACTTGTGGTTGTTGAGACAGATTGTGGAAGATGGTGAGGCTTAAGATGGTTCAAAAGTGCTTCAACTCTTTGAGAAGAAGGGTGCACTCTTGTGGGCAAACTAATGGACCTTACTGGTTGATGAGTACTTGACATAGTAGAAATAGCTTCCATCTTTCTTTGTTGTGGTGCACCAAACACAAGGATGCTTGATTGGGAATTAGTCTGATTTCAATCTATTTATAGGAACACGGTGGAATTGAACCTAAACTTTGAATTATAAGTGTGCAAGCCAACTCTTTAAGTTGTGTATGTGCATGCATGTGACAACAATGTGGGTCTCCCTACCTTTCCGATTGCTTTGTAATAGTTTAGGCCAACAATTCCGTAACTGTGGTGACTTAATTAATTCAATGGAGGTCAGATAGAGTATTAGAGTGTATTGAGGTTTGAGAATTAGTGGTAGTACACAAACAAAGGACACTGAACATTGCTGGTGTATGTTCCCCTGCTTCCCCTTTGTGATGAATCAATTCAATAATCCCATCTTCTCAACCATAACACAATAGTATAACTTATCTCTAATGATCATGTGTATAATTGAAACTGTTTTCTATTTGAATTAGTTTTGCGCTTTTGTGTCTTTCTTCAAAGTATTAGTGAGGGGAGGATTTAAATAATCCTGGCTAGCGCAAACAATGCTGTGAGTTATAGCCAAAAGTTTCCTTCATAGGCCTGGAATCTAGGCCAGCATTAAGATGTCATTGGGGGACATATGAGCAAGGTTGGTTCAAATTGCTATAATTTATGATTAAGTGAGTGAATAATGGAAACCATGAGGTGTTGTGGTGGCAGTGTATTTAGTGATATTAGGAGACAAAGGAAGCAATCAACAGCGATGTTTCTTCTACCTTGGGAATTGATTTGTTTGCATAATGTAAACATTACAGCATATAAGTTCTGGTGCTTGTGTTGGGTGGGTGGCTTGTGTTAGTAGATAAGGGAAAAGGGTACTTAAGAGTTGATCAAAGAGTAAGGGGAGTAGTATATGAATCACATGTTAATTGTATGGATGAGAAGCTGATTCTTCTTGTCTGCTGTGTTTTTTTTTCCTGCATGCATCTGTACCTTAAACAACATTTCCTTTCAAGAGCAATGTACCTAGCAAAGATATTTTACAATAGACAACAAATTAGGGGCTAGAAACTTCAGATAATTAAATTTACACGATGTACTTGAGATGTTCAAATAAAATATTTGCCTACACTGCACCCATTATATTGTATTACTTTGCTGATTATTTTAACCAGAAAAATTGTTATTTGGTTATTCAAAGATATATATATATATATATATATATATATTTCTTAGTTTTATTGTTTTGAATCTCAAATGTTTTGATTTAAGACTTAACCATGTACATATATATATTGTGCTTTCTGTTTAGCTTCTATATATAGACGACCAATGATAATAATTTTGGAATAAGCATACTACACAAACTAACAGTTGTAATTGGATAGTCCAACATCATAAAAATTTCACACTAGAGTTCCATATTTTACACCTCTTACCTTACAAATAAATCCTAAGAAGTGAATTAATCAGAGGATAAGTGAAGAATAAGAACCAAATTAGAATTGAAAATTTAAATCGAGAAAACATGTATGTTTTCAAGGACTGAAATAATAATTTTCTTTTGCTAGTTAAGGGTGCACTGTAAATTGTCCGTATATGCAAACTTCTTGATCAATGTGCCCAAACAAAGATGGCAGGTTTATTTGGTAGCTTATGATATGACAAAATGTCATGTCCTAAACTTGACCTGCCATAACCATTTGAGATAAATGCAAACTAAAATGCATGTTATTGTTATTCAAATTGCAATGGACTTGTGTGATAAGCCTCTAGTCATGGCATTGTTGAAGTTGTAAAGGAAACACCATTATCATTTTGCACGTGCAGCAACTTGAGCATCAGATGCTGCCTGCTCATGACCAATTGAGACAAGTCTGGCTTCACAAGTTGGCCCTGCAATGTATCCGGAGAGGAATGAATGCAAGCAAGCATTCTTCTATTTGTTACACTGCCACTGCATGTGCTTTTTGGATCTTTTGAATGCTAACCCTGAATTACGAGCCATGCTAGTAAAAAGTGATAAAAATTTCCATCAATGTGACAATATTTAAAGTTTTATTGAAGCTCCTCATCAAACATCTTAGGTTGAATATGCTATTAAATATTATCCAAATTTTCATTAATGTGACATAAATTTCCAGTTTAAAGCTATGTTTATAGTTTTTCCTCACCTAACTTTCGCCGTTTATTATTCTTAACTTTTCGTTTATGACTTCAAAATTTTTATCTTGATACCCTCTCAAGTTACTATTGCTAAGAATTTCTTTGAACTGAATTGGGGATCTGGGCGAGGAACAAAATCTTTCTGTTAAGTCAATCACCTTTAGTGAAAATCCTTTTGGGTGTTAATTAACGGACACAACTACCAGCAGATTTTCAAAGTTTGTGCTGATCTTTAGCTTTGTTTAGCATAGTTCCAGAAAGGTCGAATGAAGTTGGTACTAATTATGCGTGGCTCATTTATGACCAATTGTTGAGATGGTGGAATTTGTTGAGAAAATTATAAAAAGGCTTGACTATTGGGAATGATGCCATGTGATCTTAATTTAATGCATGTTGAGACGTTACAGTTTTTGTAGAGAAAAAATTATGTGTCTTATTATATTATTATAATTTGGACACCATTCATGACTATATATAAGAAAAAAAAAAAAAAAACATTATTCAAGGGTGCATGATTGTCAATTGCGATTCAACGGAAATTGAGAAAATTAAAGCATATGTGGAAGACAGAAAATGCTGAGGTTTAGGTCATCAATCATTATCATGAGTTCAAGTAAATAAGAACAACAAGACACTGAATTAACGCTCTAACAGAATTATTCTGATTCCTTTATGACTGTCAAGAGTCAAGATTCACTTTTCAGCCGGCCAACCATTATTTAATTCAACACAGCTACAAAGGGTCACCACGTTCATGGGAAAAAAAAACCCATGGAAGCCTCATTTAGTGACTTGGAAAGTAAGGGAAGAGTCACAAGATAAAGCCTAATAATAAATATTAATTACAAAATTTTTATTAGTTTTAGATTTTTCTTATATATATATACAGTTGATTTTATTATAATTTTCATCCGTTGAAAATCAATGATTGTTTTTGTAAAGTGCATTATGTTACTTTGAAGGAATCAAATCTCAATTTTAGATGAGATAGAAGGGGAAAAAAGTATATATATATTATATATATATATATATATATAATATTATGTCATATTTTGATTTATACAAATGTATGTTAAACAATTTTGAATTGATATAAAATTTAATATATATGATTGGAAGAAATAACTTTTAATATAGTAATTAATTATAAAAATTATTGACTAGTTTAATAGTTAATAAAAGTTATACAATAGTTAGTAAAAAAATATCAGAAGGCATGTAAAGAGAAAATTTAAAGATAAATCTTCCAAAATGCAAAGACAATTTTTCTTGTAATAACTAATAAATAATGATATAAAATTAGCATTTATATTTCTTTTTATTTTATTGTTAGCTCTCATAAATAAGAATGAAGCAATAATTTTCATTGCATATTTGCATGTGTTAAAGAGAGGAGGGGAGCAGTTAGATTCAATTCATAGTGGCCACATTTCCTACTGTCTAGAGCACCTCGTCCATGTGGAAGTGTTGGGTTTCCATTTCTTCCATTACAATATCATTGAATCACGCGCTGACCGCAAGCTCTACTTTTGTTCGAGAGTTCTATTTAATTTTTTATAATCATAATATTATAATATTATTAATGTAAAATATTTATTTTCTCAATAACTAATCTTTGTTAAAAAGTCTAATTAATACTTTATGTAAAATTTTCTATCTAATTATGTATTTATTTAGATTCAGTCTAAAATTTTTAAAGAGACTAAATTTAATACCAAATGAAATAATATTTTTCTTTATTTAAGTATTTTTTCCACGCATGTATAGTTCTACTTAAAATAGGAAACTCCTTACAGTTCTTGGCAGCATCTGACCTTCCTGGGACTTGCATGTGATGTGATTGATGTGAATTTATTAAAATTTATAACACATCAAACCTCAATTATATTTGCTTTAGTGATTTTATATTCATTATTATATAACTTAAATCAGTTTTGATACATTTGTTAGTTTTATGTTAGTTAGTATGGCCTTCTCTATTATTCTCTTATTGATCAACGACCACTGGTTCTCAATATCAGTTTAACGCAAACAATTAGAACTTAGAAACATAAACTTTTACTGTATTTAGCTGAGATCGGTCGTGAGAGACGATTTGCTTGACAAGATCGGTGAATTTTCTCTGGCTGGCACGTCTACTATTTAGATGGGGGTGGTACCTGTAAAAGAGACTCTGATACTAAAGTTAGTTTTAGGTCGTATGAATGTCTCGTATATATAGTACACGTACCTCGATGTAAATTAGGATTTTTCTCTTGGGTGAGGTTGGTATGGGCCCGTGGCTGGTCGTGGCCCAACAGATGGTGGGCCTTTGTGTTGGCTGATGTTGTGTGGCGCTTGGATACCGGGTTCAATCTCGGTATCCTACGTGGATAGTATACTAGCCCTCCAAGCTCTGAGAACCTCGGGTTGAGGAGCTGATACCGAGTTTGGTGAAAGGTCGCGACCTTTCGTTTCTCTCTCTTGGGCTAAGCGTCACGTGTCATGAAGGCGTCGCCTCGTTTCACGAAACGGGAAGGTGGCTTGTAATAAAGAGTGACGGCTTGTAATGATGTGATGGACCCTATCATTATGAGCCCTATTAAATGTGTTGCCCCCTTTGTCGTTTACCACATTTTTAAAACACTAGTTTCTTTCTCATTCGCGCATTTGCTTTCTTGTTTGCGGGTTGAGTTTCTTTGCTCCGTCTATCTTCTCCGTCGTCATTTTCGGCAACACATTCGTCGTCGGTCGTCGTTGTCTTCGAGTGTTTTGTTCGTGTTCAAGGAGTACCAGGTACTTCTTCTCCTCCACTTCCATTTTCCCTTTCTGTTAGTGGTACAATGAGTGATGGCCAGCAAGGGAGGGCAGGACTCACTTCCCCCTAGGGCCGCTATTGGGCAGGCCAAGGGAAAGGGCAAGGCGAAAGTAGCCGCCATTGACGGTGACCCTAAGAAAAAGAGGGGGGTAACAACCCCAAGGACTCACATCCCGCTAT